ATCACCCTCTCTTCAGGGTGGGTAGCTGCACATACAAAATCTGTGCTTTGACCTATCAAGGGGGGAAAAAACGGTGAGTTTGTCTCCAGTAGTTTTTGTCTCTCCCCAAGGCAGAGAGCCTGTTTATGGGTGGGAGAACTCCCCTCCCCGCACTCCCCACCCTTGTCTGGCTGACTACGGGGCTCAGCCCCTACCATGACCTCCTTTGCCTTGAGAGGGCTTTTAGGTGTGGATTGAATCCCAAGTAGGGGCATGTATGGGAGGCCACCTATCCATGCTTCTTTCTCACACCCATGCCTCTTCCCTTCTCTCCCAAATTAGTAGATTATATCCTGTATGCATCATCTTCTTTCAGGTCTTGTATCATTCTGATGGAATGTGGGAAGGAAGGGAGGATCCAACAGCTGTATTATAACACGGGGCTGTGGCAGGGGGTGCTTGCACCACTTCCCTCCAGTGAGTCAGCGTGGGGCTCCAGCTGCCAAGCTGCTACAGATGAACTGCTATGCTTCTGGGGCCTCTGCCACCAGCCTCCCTAGGTCAGGTAGGCAATAGCTCCCTCCCCAGTAAGTTCTGCAGTCTCTGCACTCTGGCTCTTGCCAGGGGCAGAGAGCATTGAGACAAGTCTGGGCTCCCAGGTACAGATCTCCTGAAGCTTTTTCCCAGGTAGGATATTTTAAATTCCTCAAAATGGCTATTGCCCCAAATCTGCCCTGCCAGAGGCACCAGGCTGGGCAGCCTCAGTGGCAGCAGCTCTTTCAGGAAAGCCAGGCCTTCTTTCACACATGCCCACACGCTGGCCCTCATACATACTCACTCACACATGCTATCACTCTCAGCTGGAGTTTTGAGTTGGTTGCTCTGCGGTTTAGCTGCATGACTTGTGCGGGGCTGGGAGCAAGTGGATGAAGCTTCCAGCTACCCTTCAGTCATCTTGGAAACCGACCCCTAACCCCATGTTCTTATATTTTTCTACTTGCATTGTTTGAAATAATAGAGAGGTGTCTTTAATTTGTGATATAGATTTACTTACACATCTTGTTTTACTTAAATTTACTGACACTTTTATTACTTCAGGCATTTTCATTCCTTTGTGAGAACAACCTTCTTTATCAAACTTTAATAAAATATTCTCACAATAATTTCAATCAACTTTATTTTGAAAAGGTTTTATTTACAGTCTTTCGGATACATTTTTATTGAGGAGAGAATTCTGGTTCACCATTCTTATTTATTCTATACTTTGGATATGTTATTCCTCTTTGTTTTAACTCGCATCATTTCTAGGAAAAAAGTCTTCTGTAACTAATGTTCTTTTCTTCCTCTTGCTGTCTTCAAAATTTTGTCAATATATAGGTTTCATAAATTCAGCTATCATGTTCTTAGGTGTGCTTTTGTCTGTTACATGTTTTACATGGGGCTCTCTAAACTTCTGGGTATGTGGTTTCTTATCTCTCACTAATTTTGGAAAATTATATATCCCTTTTCTTTCCCTCTTCTACTCTTTCAGTTAAATGGATATTAAAATTTAGACAGTGTTCAATGAGCTAAGCTTTTGGGAGGCTCTAAAAGACAACATCTCCATTTTTCACCAGCCTCCAATCCTCACCACTCTGATAGCTGCCAGTCTGTTTTGTGTATCTATGCTTCTGTTTGCATTTTGTTTGTTAAATTATTTTGTTCAATACATTCCACATATAAGTGAGACCATATAATATTTGTCTTTCTCTAACTGGCTTGTATCAGTATAATACTCTTCAGGTTGATCCATGCTGTCTCAAAAGGTAAGTTTCCCCCCTTTTTTATAGCTGAGTAATATTCCACGGTGTAAAGGTACCACAGCTTTTTCATCCACTCATCTACTGATGGACACTTAGGCTTATAGAATATACAGTGTGGAGCAAAAGTAGATTTATAGTTGTGAGTACGTAGAATGCAGAGTCAATGAAGCAATTGTAATAATCATAACCTGTATGTCTTTTTCCACATGAACAAATGTAAATCTACTTTTACTGAACCATGTCTTTTTAAAAGATACCTTTTGTTACAATAATTTACTACCATGGAAGATTGGAGAAACTCCAAATGTATTTCCTTTAATAATAATAATAACAATAAATATAATAATAACAATTAAAATAATTTAACAAACATTAAATATGATAAACAGCCCTAATCTATGAGCGTTGTCCAGCAAAGTGAAAAGTTGCCCATTTGGTTCCTGGTTGGAACACATGCTGGGTTGTGGGTTTGACCCCCCAGTTGGGGTTCAAGCAAGGGGCAGCCAATTGATGTTTCCCTCTCACATCAATGTTTCCCTCCCTTTCTTTTCTCTCCCTCCCCCCTCTAAATATAAATAAATAAAATCTTTTTAAAATAAAATATGATAAACTAATAAAATAAGAACGATAATAGAATATTAACTTAATGGCTAAAAGAACAATCTAACCTTATATTCTTTATCTCTAGCCTCATATTTTAGTATTGTAGCTTCCAGGAACAAAGTAAAAAACAAGGAGAGAGAAGGGGAGGTCCAACTCTTTTGATGCAGTTGATGAGGGAGGACTCTCTTCCTTCGAGTTGGTTTGTTTCCCGGCACTCATCTTGCATCAGTTTCTGTATCAGTAAATACAGGCTCACAGCACTAACCCAGCTTATGTTCAACTCTAGAAATTGCCAAGTTGGAATAAAGGTCTTTTTAAAAAGCTGACTCTGATATCCATGCATATACTTTTTAAGCTATGACAGAATTTTCAGCTCTAAATATTGGATGAGTGTATTTTAAAAGATGATCTCATAGCTCCCCAGGTACAGATTAAATCGTTCTAGCTGCTCTGCCATCCAGGTGTGACCATGTGCACGTGGAATATGGCCAGAATTATATGCATGCTACTTGTGGGCCTGGGTCAGAAAACTTGGAGCCTGTTGTTTACCAGTTACTCATTTCCATTTACCATTGGGATATCAGATGTGGCAGCATTCGATCTTTACCTTGTATATGTGTACAATTCCTTAGGGAATACAGAACAACAGAATAGAAGGAACCTGAATCCCTGAATGAAAGATAGGGTGGCGGGACTATAACATACTTTCTAAGCTGTAGCACCAGCCTATTAAATGATCTTGATCTTGAATATTCTCAACGTATTCATTCTCTACTCCTGCCATCAGAGAAATGCACTTCAAAATGGCTCTGAGCATGCCTAGTAAACATCAAAGTCTCTACCTTGTCTGTGCAACATAGTCCATAGTCCATGGTCCAGGCCCCAGTCGATCTCTCCACTTTATTCTCAGTGAGCTCACTACACTGGCTGCATTGGACCTGGTTGATTGCTAGCATCCAGCCCTTAATTTTGTGTATTTGCTCATTCCCTTTTTTGCTTGTTCAAAAGTGAGTTATTCTTTTTTTAAAAAAGATTTTATTTATTTTTTAGAGAAAGGAGAAAGGAGGAAGAAAAAGAGTAAGAGAAATATCAGTGTGTACCTCCAATTGTAGACCTGGCCCTCAACCCAGACATGTGTCCTGACCAGGAATCAAACTGGCAACCTTTTGGCTTGTGGGACTATCGCCAACCCACTGAGTCATACCAGTCAGGAACAGAAGTGAGTCATTCTTTAACATCCAACAGGAATGAGGCCTTTTCCATCAAGCCATCGATCACCCTTCCTAATACTTACCTGTTGTTTTTGTAGAGACAGGCACTTTTTTTGAAATATTATTTTTAATACTCATCACTTCTTGCTTTATTTTGTATTTGCTTCCTTCAAGGTATAGATTGCCAAGGGTGAGAGCCTTACTCTGTTTATCTTTAAATATGCAAAGGCAAGGGTCCTCACAGTTGTGTTACATACACCAGTGAAAGCTACCACTGTGTTTTGTAGAAAAATATTACCACTGCCCAAATTAAAAATACCAAATAAAGGTAAGTTATAAAGAATGAACAACTAATATCACACAATAGAATATAACACCGAAAATAAGAAGTCCAGGATATAAACTCATATTAAAAGACAAACACTCCCATCAGAATATGGTTGGTAGTATTATGTAACATATTAAATGGAATAAATAAATTTCAATCTTTAAATTTTTAGTGTATTTAATAGCTTTCTTGGAACAAGTTATTCATTTTAGTAATCTATTTTTGGTAATGCTATAAAAATGAATCTAACATCTAGCTGTTGCTACTTTGTTTTTACCATGTTGTCAAACAACCAATTTCAACCAAACATTTTGATGAAAGTGGAAATAACACTTTAATGTCTTTGAAACCAACTCAGAATATTCTGGACAGAGAAAATAGGCAGGCAATGAAACTAACCCCAAGTTGTTCCAAGAACATAACTCCTACCTACATTCATCCAGAAACAGAAGGTGTTACAAAAATCTAATTTAATTACATAATTTTGTTCAGTAGTTTAATACAGTGGAATCCCTTAAAATTGCATATGTTTTGTTTTTTAATTATTATTTACACTAAAATTCAAATATGTGGGAATGAAACTCACTAGAAGACAAAACCAGAAAACAGAGACAATATTTGTGGCACTTGTCAACTTTTAAAAATTTGTTGATGGTTATTTCTTTGCTCATGTTGAATGTTCACGTTTGAGTTTGCACTTTTATATTATTTTATTTAAAGCAAACACTCAAAATATAAACTCAGGACCACTATTATCCCCCAATAGAGCCACCACAAAGAAAGTAAGTGGAAGAATTTATTACAAAATAATAGTGATTATCTCTTGACTGGAAAAGTAAGAGCTTTATGCACAAAATTATTGTTAATTAAAAAGGATGAATTACTAACAAGAGTTAAAAAGTCTAGAAATGAAAAGGGAGTCTAAGCATAAAATTAAAATAATTACAACAAAACCCTTACTGCTTTACAAAATGTACCCACGAGAGACAGGCTCTTGCTCTCTGTCCGCCTGCTGTTATGGGCTCACTTTCTTCCCTGCTAATAATCTGTGTTCTTTGTAGGGTTAAGGAAAGCAAACCAAATCAGGAAGAGGGACCAGCCTGAGATTCTGAAGCTTTGCTTCCTCCCTGGCCCTTTCATGCCAGTTGGTGGAAGGAGATGATGAAAACCCAACAGTTAACTTCACAGGAAAGGGCGTATCCTTTCGATTTCTGCTCTGTACTTCCCAACCTGACTCAAAACTGCTTGCCTGGAATATCTGGCTCAGATTTTCATCTCCCAAAGAGAGCAGCGGGTACCGGGAGGAATCAGAAGCAAGAGAGAGCTGCAAGGGGAGAGTGAGGACAGCTGAGACCTTGTTCCTGTTTGCAGCGTCGGAGATAGGTAAATTTGCTTTTAGACCTTATCTTCTGTGCACATGTTCGTTAACTAACTAACAACAACAACCAGGCGTGCTTCAGCACACATCCGACCACCAGGGGTGCAGGTTCCGCACCTTAGTCCAGGAGGCAGCTGGCAGGTGATGGGGGCCGGAGGAGGTGTGACCTGCGCGACTATATGCTCAGGGAAGCTCAGTGTCTCTGTTTGGATCCCAGGCTGCTGAAAGGCGACAGCGGGCACACTTTGTCCCTGGGATGTGCTGCTCCTTCTTGGGTGTCCATCTAGGGTTGCACAAAGAGCCCTACATGGGTGAAGGAGGAGCGCATCCAGCATCACCTGCTTGACGGGGCTGAAGTCCTTTCTGTGGCTGAGGAACAGAACCTGGTCTCCACTTCAGGGAGCTACTGGTTGGAGGCCCTTCCCCATCTCCGTCCTCCCACCTCAGACATTTCCCCTTTAGGACAGTGGAAAAACAGAGAGAGAAAATGATCCTCAACATACAATTAAATATTAAAACATTCTTTATTGTATTGATCATTTTTCATATTTCAAAGAGTCTATAAAGTGATATTTAGATGAAATTAATTCATTCGGAAGTATTTTAATCACCTGTTAAAAATAACTGTAAGGTCTAAGCCTTTTTTTATCCTGCAGTTTCCAAATGTGTGATCCCTACCAAACAAATTACCTCAATTACTTTTGTTTTTAGGTTCAGTTGTTTCTGTTTCCTTTGCGAGAATAACAATATTTCTCAGTTTGTTTTCATTTCCATACACTAGCAACAGGAAAGTGGGAGCAGGAAAAGGAGCAAGCAGGGTGGGAAACAACTGGGGGCTCCTGCTTGGACACACTGACCTGGCAGAAATGCTGACATATCAACTTTCTTTTGCCTGCAGCTTGGTCTTGAGCTTAAACCCCTCAACTTCTGAGTCAACATGGTCTCTGAGGAATGGAGTGGTGAGGGCACCTGTAGCCTCGTTGTCTGGGCTGCAGGCTTCAGTTGTGGCTTTAGTTCTGGGAAAGCCCAGCTCCTCCATTTGGAGCAGAGGTAGCTGTGAGGTGACAGCCTCACAGCATGTCACACAGCCAGGACAGCTGCAAGTGGAGTGGAAAAGGTGGGTGCATGGAGAGATGAAAGATTAGGGTCTTCTGACTCTTTAAGGAGGGATATTGGAAGTAGTTCCATCATCCATGAGCTCAGTGTTCCTAATTATAATTTGCATAGGATAGACTTATCACTGGTTCTCAACCTTGGCTCCACATTACATTAGATTTGCCCACTATATTTTTTTACCATTATCATTGTCATTATTATTATTATATATAGGCCTATTATATATATATGGCTTGGCTAAGAGAGCTCTGCCTGCCTTTACTTGGATGGAGAGAAAAAAAAAGAGAGCCAGAATGAAATGGGCTGCCTAAAGCTTTTTACCTCATTCCCACCCCCAGTTTCACACTTATAAGCTGGGAAGTAAACCTGTTAACGCTGGGTATTGGCTGTAAGTCACTGCTCAGGCTCAAGCTTGCTACTGGGGCAGCTTCTTTCACAGTATGTTCTGAAAATTGGAAAATAGCAACTTCTCAGCACTTCCTGGAAAATGAGTAGTTCTTTCTTCTCCCTAATAAAACCTATGGCAGCTGTGTTCAGGAGTTCACAGGCCCACTGGAGAGCAGAGTTTGCTCTGGGTCTTTTCACATGGATATTTTTAAAAATGTATTTTTAAATTATAGTTGACATATTAGGTCATTTTTAGTTGATGTACCTGTCTAGCACTACACAGAGTTATTCCCATATTATTGACTATATGCTGTACTTTACATCCCTATGACTATTTTTATAATTGGAACTTTGTACTTTTTAACCCCCCTCACCATATTTGTCCATTCCCCAGCCCCTCCCATCTGAAAATCAGCAGTTTGTCTCTGCATCTATGAGTTCATTTTGTTTGTTTATTTATTTTGGTTATTAGATTCCTTTTAAAAGCATAATGATGTCATATGGTATTTGGTCTTCTCTGACATACTTCACTTAGCATAATACCTTCTAGGTACATCCATGCTGTTGCAAATGGCAAGATTTCATTTTTTAAAGATTTTATTTATTTATTTTTAGAGAGGAGAAGGGAGGGAGAAAGGGAGAGAGAGAAAAACTTCAACGTGTGGTTGCCTCTCAAACATCCCCTCCCCCCACACTGGGGACCTGGCCTGCAACCCAGGCTTGGGCCCTGACTGGGAATTGAACTGGTGACTCTTTGGTTCACAGTCTGGCACTCAGTCTACTGAGCCACACCAGCCAGGACAAGATTTCACTTTTTATGGCTATGGAATATGCTAATATTCCATTGCATATATGTACCACATTTTCTTTATCCATTTGTATACTGTTGAACATTTAAATTGCTTCCATATCTAGACTATTGTAATTAATGCTGTAAGGAACGTAGGAGTGAATGTATCACTTTGTTTCTTTATTTTTCCATTCAAATCTACATTCACTATAATTCTGTCTTAGTTACAGATGTGTAGCATAGTGGTGAGTGCATACATCTTTTTGAATTTGCATTTTTGACTTCTTTAGATAAATACCTAAAGAAGTAGGACTGCTGAGTCACATGGCAGTTCTACTTTTAATATTGTAAGGAATCTCCATACTGTTTTCCATAGTGGCTGCACCTGTTTATAGTCACACCAACAGTGGCTGCACATTTTCTTCCACAGTCTTGCCAAGATTTAGTCTTCATTGTCTTTTTGATGATGGCCATTCTGACAGGTGTGAGGTGATAGCTCATTGTGGTTTTTATTTGCATTTCCCTGATGACTAGTGATGATGAGCTTCATTTCATATATCTGTTGGCCATATCAATAGCTTCTGTGGAAAAAGTTTACTCAGGCCCTAGGACCATTTTTAATTGGATTATTTGTTTTTTGATATTGAGTTGTATGAGTTCTTTATATATTTTGGATATCAACTCCTTACCAGATACATCATTTGCAAATATCTTCTCCCATTTAGTAGGTTGCCTTTTTGTTCTGTTGATGGTTTCCTTTGTGGTGTAAAAACTTTTTAGTTTGATCCAGTCCCATTTGTTTATTCAATGCTTTTGTTGTCTTTACCTTAGGAGAAATGTTCTCCCCAAATATTGCTAAGATCAGTTTCAAAGAGTTTATTGCCTATGTGTTCTTCTACTAGTTTTATGGTTTCAGGACTTATATTTAAGAATTTAATCTATTTTGAGTTTATCTTTTATATGGTATGATAAAGTGTTCTGGTTTCATTTTTTGTATATGTCTGTCCACTTTCTAAACATCATTTATTGAAAAAAGTTTATTCCATTGTACATTCTTGACTCTTTTGTCATAGATGAATCAAACATATAAGTGTGGGGTTATTTCTGGTTTCTTTATGTAATCTGTGTATATGTTTTTATGCTAGTTCCATACTATTTGATTACTACTTCCTCGTAGGATAGTTTTAAATTAAACAACATGATACCTCTAACTTTGTGTTTCTTTCTCAAGATGGCTTTGGCAATTCAGAGTGGTTACATATAAATTTTAGGAATATTTCATCAAGTTAGGTGAAAAATACCTTCGGTATTTTGATAAGAATTGCATTGAATCTGTAGATCACTTTGGTCATATGGTCATTTTAGCAATATTACTTCTTCCAGTCTATGAGCACTGTATGTCCTTCAAATTATTTGTATCCTCTTCAATTTCTGTCATCAATATCTTATAGTTTTCAAAGTATAGGCCTTTTATTTCTTTGGTGAAATTTTTTCCTAGGTATTTTACTTCTTTTGATGCAATTGTAAATGCAATTGTTTTCTTAATTTATCTTTCTGATTGCTTGTTATTGTTATTAAAAATGCAATCGATTTCAGAATATTAATTTTGTATCCTGCTACTTACTGAATTAATTCATTAGTGTTAATAGTTTTTGGTGGATTCTTTAGATTTTCCTATATATTGTATCAAGTCATCTGCATATAGGACAACATGGACATTTTTGAACACTTACATAGAGGGTAAAGAATTCAGAGGTACTCTTGTTATTGCTAACTGAATCTCATGAATATATACATTTTATTGCCTTAAAATATACATCTTTTCTATTGTGATGCACATTTCTATTTTGAAAAACAAAAGTGATCTCCCAGCGACTCAATTTTGCTTCAAAAGGAATGATTTTTATACTTTGTGGACAAAAGGATTTTGATGACTTCTCACAAAAGAGAAAAGTCAAAAGCTATTTCCCTTTTGGAACCCCAAATTTCTTCAGTCTCTTGAACATCATAGATGATTCTTTAGGTACTATGTTTCATTGATCAGTCATATGTCAAACCGAATTGTCAATTTAAAATATCAGGTTTTGATGAATACTAGTCATACTCATCACTAGTTCAGTAGTTGTTCCCAACAGTAGGACCACGAGACAGAAGAGATGCATGAAATCTCTGGCTAACAATTGATGGCTTATGTTTCTGGGGTTATCCTAGTGCCAGGTCCTCTCTCAGCATCAGCCTTGTTGCCTCCTTTGCAGCTGGTTAAGTCTTAAGTGTGATGAGAGGATGTTCTCATGAGGTGATGGCCTTGCTTCTCAGTGAGGATGACCCTCACATTGGGTAGGGCCACTCTAGTGCTTTATAAGAACTGGCTGCCCAGTGCCAACAATAACATTCAATCTGAGATCCTTATGGCATTGGGAGCAGTTTGGCCCTTGCAGAGAGTCACTGTAAGGGCAGAACCAAAAATCGATGAAACTTTCATTGTGGGGCTTAGCTGATGCTTACTGTGACAGAAGCAAAGCAGAAAACACACACAGCCTAAGGCGATGGATGCTTTGTATAAACACTGCATGGAGAGTAACAGTATAATCTTTTTTCAACTGGGATGTTCTTCCAGGTTGGCAGGTTGCCATGGCATCTGGATTCAACATGACAGCCCCCATTTGTCTGGTGGAAAACATCAAAGAGCAGCTCTCAGTGAATCAGGAAGCTCTACAGATTCTTGACCAGATTTCTCAGCCAGTGGTGGTCGTGGCCATTGTGGGACTGTATCGCACAGGCAAATCCTACTTGATGAACTGTCTTGCAGGCCAGAACCATGGTGAGTGCTGTCCTCAGGCAGGGGACATTTTTTTTTACTCAGTATCACAGTTTATTAGTTTTCTTTTCTGATTACACAAAGAGAGGACTAAACTCCTCAATAAACCAATCTTCTAATTCTAATTCTCATCACAAAATTATAAATTTATTGTATTTTGTTACCATATTCTTTGTTGTATTCAGTTAAGGAAAATCTCTCCTACTAATGTGCAGATTCCTACCTTATTCTACCTGTGCAAGCACTGTAATCTTTCAGTTGTGTCTTTTCTCTTTCATGACACATTTTGCTTTCTCTATGGAATTCCCATCAATATATAAAGATGTTTGAGTATTTATCATGATGTTAGAATTTTATGTGAGTGCACATTCCACTGTGGCCACTATCTTCCAACAACCAGCCACCATTTTTTAAAATCACTTTGACTGGACAAAATATTGTCTCAATTTCTTTTTTTCCCTTTTGTTGTTTTTTTCTTTAGCTGCCTCTTTTGTCCACTGCTATCTGGTTTGGACTTAACCCTTGTTTAAAAGTGCTTTTATTATGGTTATCAGAAAACTCCATTATGCCTGGTTCACGAATGCCTCTTGCCTCCATCTTGAGCACTGGCTGGGTATCATTCTCACAGTTAACATTCATTTTCTCTTTGAAGTAGATGGCACACACAGTAGGGCATTCTTACAAAACAGAGAAAGCTCCATCCTATATTCTCAAGTTCTTACATTCCAACAGGGTTGACTTTGCAATCCCTTGGCTGCTTAGATTATCTATTGTCACTGTGTGCTGGGTCTCTCCTTCCTCCTTCCATTTAGGTTTCCCTCTGGGCTCTACGGTGCAGTCTGAAACCAAGGGCATCTGGATGTGGTGTATGCCCCACCCCTCCAAGCCTAACCACACTCTGGTCCTTCTGGATACCGAGGGCCTGGGTGATGTGGAAAAGGTAAGGCAGAAAGTCACAGATAAATTGTTTTTAATCTGGATATTCTCCTAATGAACTCTTTGATTTAACTGCTTCATCTATATGTGGAACCTCAAAATCCAACTGCATGTCAGGCTAATTTTTGTTTATTTGAATCTTACTTCTAGGTAAGGTGTCATGGTACCCTGTGTAAAATTTTCTTTTATTTCTTGGCACTTAGTTAATTGATTCAATTAAACTTGATTAACTTAGTTAAACTTGATTCAATTTAGTAAATAATTGCTGAGTACCATATTCTCAGATCTCTAGATTAGTACTGTAGATACTAGTGACCAAAGTAAAAGTCCTTCCCTCATAGAGTCTGCAATCTTATGGTGAGGTCCATCAAGTACTCACAGAGCATTCTGGAAGACTTTGAGACACCCCTTAAGGCACTGATTCTATGAAAGCATGTATTTGTTGTACAACACCATTTTAAGATGGGTTTTTGATATTGTAGTTTTATACTCATTGGTAAAATGAATTCTTTCTCCTTTTCTGCTTTAGTTTGAGACTTATTTGAAAATAGTACCTAAATTTCTACAAGTCTTCATTTCTACCCAAAGAAGAGTTAGAAGTTTTGTGTTTATTTTTAGATATCAAACAGTGGTCTTGCTGCCTAAATAAACAATCATTTGTCATAAGTGTAATTATGTAATTAATTATAATTATTATAATTATTTACAATGTAATCATTATTATTATTATTTTAAACATCTTTTTATTCATTTTTATTATTTAATTATATTTTATTGATTTCATTATTACAGTTGTCCCGATTTTTCCCCTTTTGCCCCCCTCCACCTAGCATTCCTCAGGCCATTTCTCCACCATTGTTCATGTTCATGGGTCATGGGTATAAGTTCTTTGGCTGCTCCTTTTCCTATGCTGTACTTTACATTCCCATGGCTATTCTGTAACTACCTATTTGTACTTCTTAATCCTCTCACCTCTTCACCCATTCCCCCACACCTCCCCTCATTTAAAATCCTGACAATATTCATGATTCTGTTTCTGTTCTTATTTGCTTTGTTTTTTAGATTCAGTTGTTGATAGGTATGTATTTATTGCCACTTTATTATTCATAGTTTTAATTTTCTTTTACTTACATAAGTCTCTTTAACAATATAATAGTGGTTTGGTGATGTTCAACTCCTTTAGTATTGTCTGGGAAGCTCTTTATCTGCCCTTCAATTCTAAATGGTAGCTTTGCTGGGTGGAGCCATCTTAGCTGTAGGTCCCTGCTATTCATCACTTTGAATGTTTTTTTGCCAGTCCCTTCTTGCCAGCAAAGTTTCTTTTGAGACATAAGCTGACAGTTTTATGGGAACTCCCCTGTAGGTAACTAACTGCTTTTCTCTTGCTGCTTTTAAGATTCTCTCTTTATTTTTAAACCTTGGTGCTTTAATTATGATGTGTCTTGCTGTGGGCCTCTTTGCATCCATCTTGTTTGGGACTCTCTGTGCTCCCTGGACTTGCACGTCTATTTCCTTCAACAAACTAAGAGTTTTCTTTCATTATTTTTTCAAATATTTTTAATTTCTTGTTCTTTCTCTTCTCTTTCTGACACCCCTATGATGTGAATATTGGAATTCTTGAAGTTGTCCCAGAGGCTGCTTATAATACCCTCATTTTTTTCATTCTTTTTTCTTCTTGTTGTTCTGATTGCTTGTTTTTGCTTCCTAATGTTCCACATCATTGATGTGATTTTCAGCTCCCTCCACTCTACTATTATTTCTCTGTAAATTATTCTTTATTTTATTTAGTGTAAACTTCTTTTCTGACTAGATCTTTTTCATGCTGTTGAGGTCCTCACTAAGTTCCTTGAGCATCCTCAGACCAGTATTTTTTTGTTTTTTCATAAGTTACTTTATTGTTATTCAATTACAGTTGTCTGCATTTTCTCCCCACCACTCCCCCGAACCCCCTCCAAATGTCCCTCCTTCCCTTGCTTCCACCTCCCCTCTTGGGTTTGTCTATGTGTCCTTTATAGTAGTTTCTGAAACCTTTCTCCCCATTGTCCCCTTCCCCCTCCTCTCTGGCTATTGTTAGATGCCTCTTAATTTCAATGTCTCTGGTTATATTTTTTTGCTTTCTTCTTTTGTTGATTATGTTTTTAAATTGAAGTTTGGGAAAATAAACTAACAAATTGATGTTTCCTTCTAAAAAATTTTTATTGCACCTTCTAGCATTTTTAACTTTGCTAATGAACCAATTTAGACACTATTTATAAAAGAAAAAACTCTGTATTATGTCATTATTTAGACACTGCTGTATGTTATACAAACAAATAAGCACAACTTTTAAAATCCTTCATGTGGTTGCAGTAGACTCACTGTGCACCCTTAACTTCTCGCCTACCCTGTGTTCCAGCCAAATCAAGTACCTCTATTAAAAAACCCCCTGTATTCTGCCATATCTACTTTTGCTTCTGAGGGTCTTTCTACCTGCAGGTTAACCTTCATTTCTTCAGGTTCACATTCTACCACGTCTTTAATTTTCAGCCAAGATGCTGAGGAAGGCTTCAGTTTATATGCAAGTTTCCAAATTTCAGATCTTAGTTCTTCCTGAAGGACTTGTAAATTTGAATTTAATATTGTAGCTACAGGTTCTAGTGCTTATATACAGTATTAAGATGTAACTTCTTACAGATATTATCTTTGTTGCATTTATTGTTACTGATGTGGATCCCAGCTTTGAAAGAGTCATCTGGAAAATAATATTTTTATTTTAAACTGCTTTTTAAATTTAACAACAGTAGAAATATTCAGTAGTTTCGCATAAGCATTTGTTGATAATCTCTCCAGTTGTGTTACTTATAGTATATTTTATATAGCCCATGACCAACAAATATATTTAGAAAGAATATGTGCTAACACCCTTCATTAAACTTAATTGTAAAATAGGTACTGCACTAAGTTTTTCTATGTTGTTTTTTTAAATCAATTGAACAAAAAGAAAGCCCTATATGATAGAATCCTTTTATCTATGAAAAATTACAATCACAAGAAATGCTGTTGTAATTATCAAAGCTGATATCTGCATCTATGTCTGTTTTCAAACTTACTTCTTTGCATGGTATGTTACCTGGAATAAAAATGAAAGGCTGGTAGAATCAGTGTCTGAGTGAATTTCTACGTGTAAACTCCTAGCTGTTTGGCCCTAATGTTCTCCCTAGGGTGATCCTAAGAATGACTTGTGGATCTTTGCCCTGGCTGTGCTTCTGAGCAGCGTGTTCGTCTACAACAGCATGGGCACCATCAACCACCAGGCCCTGGAGCAGCTGCAGTATCCTTCCAGGGACCACTCCACCATGGGTCCCGGGGTCTGGGGGATGGAGATCCATCAGCTTCTCCTTCCCTTTCACTTAGTTGCCTTTGGTGGACCAGAAGGAACCAGAGCCAGAGAGTTTTACCATGTGTTTTTTCTTTTAGAGAAATGTGGGAACTGTGAGTAGGAAGTTTCTTTTCCTTAACCAGGTCCTAGTTATGTGACAGAGCTGACAGAACTCATCAGGGCAAAGTCCTCCCCTACACCAGATGGAGGAGATGATTCCATGGAGTTTGTGAGTTTCTTTCCAGACTTTGTCTGGACTGTACGGGATTTCACCCTGGAGCTGAAGTTAAATGGTCACCCTATCACAGAAGATGAGTACCTGGAGAATGCCTTGAAGCTGATTCCAGGTAAGAGCGTGACTGGGCAGCGGATGGTCCAGTGCAGGGTGGGAGGTGCTACACAATGTCTGTCATCTCTGGAGTTGCACTTGTGTTTTAAACTAGGTGAAATCTGTAGAAATGGTGGCTGGGAGATGGGTTGAAAGGCCCTAGGGACTGGAGCTTAAGTTCACCTAAGAAAAGTAGAGCCTAAGTGTAGTAAAATTATTCATAGTCAATTTGTTCTTTACACAATTTTTTATTTAGCATCTGATTGTAACCTAGAATACAGTGGTGCTGAAACTGCCTAAAGATCAGACACTTATGTTTATTACTTTAGCTCCTGCTTTCCCCTGAGGAAAACAACTGATCAGACAGTTATATACAAAATTGCATGGAAAAGTCTATCAAATGAAAAAAATCTTTCACATAAGTAGACATTATTCTTCTAAAATAGGCATATAACTTTCTAATGTTTTTATATATTGTCTATAAAAGTGATTTTATGTTCTAATAAACCTGAAGAAGTGTATTTTTTCTTTTCAGTCTATGCATTTTTCATATTTTTGATAATTATCAAAAAATACATTTTAATTTCTCTATCTTAGCATTTTCCTTTTTTAAAAATAAATTAATTTTTCAAATAAGTTTTACAGTCAACATTATTTTTGTATTATTTTTAAGTGTATAGCATAATGGTGAAATATTACATACTTTACAAAGTAATCCTCCTAATTTCTCAAGTACCTACCTGGCATCATACACAGTTATTACAGTATTATTAACTATATTCCTTATGCTGTACTTTACATCCTCATGACTGTTTGGTAACTACCAATTTGTGTTTGTTAATCTCTTTATCTTTTTCACCCAGCCTTCCCAAACTCCGCTCCTCTCTCAGCCATCAGTCTGTTTTATGTATCTATGAATCTATTTCTATTTTGTTTGTTTATTTTGCTCATTGAATTCCACATAGAAGTTAAACCATATGAGATTTGTCTTTCTGTAATATATTTCTCTGAGCATAATATTGTCTAGGTTGTCCACACTGTCACAAATAGTAAGAGTTCACTTTATGGTTATGTAATATTCCATTGTTCATATGTACCATCTTGTCTTTATCTACTTGTCTATTTTGGGGCATTTCCATGTCTTGGCTATTATAAATAATGCTGCAATGAACATAGCAGTACATATATATATTCTTTTGAATTACTGTTTTAGATTCATTTGTATATATACCCAGAATTGAAGTTGCAGTGCCATAACGTAGTTTTATTTTTAATTTTTGGAGGAACCTCCTTGCTGTTTCCTGTAGTGGCTGCACAA